ATAAACATTTAAAGGAATTAACTGAGGAATTATCATGAATTAATAATTAAAATAAAGGCTGTTCCAATGGAATCGGTGTGATTATCCAAATGTATGTTGAAAATTAAAGCTTTATCTGCCAGTTTTGCCAGGTTATAAAAGCACTGCGAGGGTCAGGAGGTCTGTAAATGTTGATTAAAACAAAAGACTGTACGGAGGAGACTGTTTTTTGGTAGAAAATTGACAAAAAGAATTTCAAAAGATAAGAACTTATTCCCAGCTTTAGGCTTTACTCATAAATTACTTCAACACTGCCACCCTTACCAGAAATGTGTGAGGTTGGGATGTTTGAATAACCCACAGGGGATGTTTCATTGAGTGCAAAAAACTCATCAGGCCAGGATTCAGCTAAGCCCATCACATCAACACCATAGTCAGTGATTAGCTTGTTCACAAGAGCTTCCTTAGGGTAAGACATCCAAAATTTAGCAATACAAATTTAATAATAGTCTTGTGGGTAGTACTTGGAGCAGAGTGGCAAGCTGTTGCAAGGATAAGATTATCTAAACAGATTGTGGAAAAAACTTATATTTATTAATATTGAAGTGTGAGACAGTTATGGTCTCAATATAATAAAAAGTCACAGGTTCTAGGAAGCTTTCAGACAAAAGTTATATAAATGAGAAGCATATCACCAGCTTGGGAGCAGTCCATCTCTCCTCTTTCTTTCAAGGCTGGCTATCAACAGACTCTCTTTTAGGGTGAGACTGAATTTCTCAGAAACCCAAATATATAATCATATGTCCTAAAAAATACAGATTGTTTCATGTCCTCCCCTAATCTCATAAAATGTTGAAAAAAAATATTTTGATATTTATAACATTTGGGCAGAGATGTGCTGTTGTGACTAAATCAAGACTCATCCTTCCTCCCTACTGTCTCAAGGTTGTGTCTGGAAGAGATAAGATTCTTGGGGGTTCCAATGACCTCAGATAAAGAAGTGAACAAGTGTTGTAAGGAACAGGTGAAGAAGTATGTATCCAGGCTCAGCACACAAACTCCCCACCACAGAATAATTCTATATCCATGTGTGGATAATTGGTAGAGCAATGCCTGCAACAGTAATAATTTCCAATTGCCTTTCTGTCTATGTTATGTATTTTCACTGTCTATGTTACGTATCACAAATCATAGACTGTGCAGGGTCTGTGTATGTTGTGACCAATCCTCCATCTGCTTCCTTGTTTGACCACAAAAATCCTGTTGCAATCTCAGGTTTTGAAGGAGATTCATTATGAAGTACAGGTGATGGAATGTCCAGCAAGGGCAAGGGTGTAATTGTCAGTGTAAATTCTATAGTAGGTTATATTTTTATTAATGACAGAAAATCATGTTGATGCAACTCTTCTATTTCTTCCAAATTACATTTGATTTTCCAGTTAACAACACCGATGACTACTTAATACATGTGTTAATTTATTTCTTTGACGTTTAAGAAAAAATGATCACGCCATTGATGAAGGAATGGTTAACTGCGTTTGGCATGTATAGATATAGGTTTCATTTTCACTGACATTATTTGAGATCAGTTTTGAAGAATTAGCGCCCCCTGTGTACGGAGGGGCAGATATTCACAAAAATAACACATTAACACCCTTTCTTTCTTCATGTTAGTACAAACACATCTGTAACAGCATATTGCATTCACAAAAAAATTATACAAGATTGAACCTAGAGATAGAGGTAAATATATGCATTTATTCAAATCATGAGCAGTGTTCAGATAATAGCTCAACAAACCTAAATAAAGTGAGAGTTCAGCTGGTATGAAAACCTGCAAACATAGCAGTGCTAGGACCTGGACTGGGAACCATTTGTTCAACATTATCACCCCTGGAGACTGACAGTGACAGGAAACAAAACAAACTCTGAAACATGCAGAGAAACATGACAGGAAACATGCAAACAGAGTGTGAAGCAAAACAAAAGGATTCAGCACGAGACGGGCTGTGGTGGTGGCGGCCTTTCGTGGTGGCATGATACACACTGAAAAATGTAAGAATAGAATTTATTTATTCAGTGGGGGCAAAGTGATAGGAAAATACATGCATGGAGAGTGGCTTTACGTTCTCAGGTAGAGCTTTAGCCAAAGCCAGGGAATGAAAATGGCCACTAACACTATCTTTACTTTTATCTCAGTTATTTGAACGTAATAATGCTCTTTATATGTATATCATGCTCAGTTGTCTATTTCTATCTCAGCACAAATGCTCATTATGAGCTCATTGTATATACTACATATAAATCCCTAGTGCCCATTCTGCTGTCTCCCTGGTCAGGCAAACTGCCAGTTGAGGTGGCCTCATGGAGAATGCTATTTCCCCCATGTGGAGTCAGGCTAAGATGTAATTCTCCGAGGCCACACAGGTCTGAAGCCATCATTTTGTCAACATAAGATAAATTAGGTAAGAAGGCAGGAGAAACTCAGGGTATAAAGGGACTCCTCTGGAGTTAGTAATTTAGGTTCACACCTCTATAAGCTGAGTGTCAGTGCCCCGGCCCCCTAGCTGTGTGTTTGTTTTCTTCCCCTGTCCATGTGCTTTTGTTTTCCTCGTGTTCTAGCCCCGCCCCTGTTCCCGCCTGCCTCGTTGCTTCATCGCCGCCACCTGCCTGCCAGCTCACCTGTTCCCCATCACCGCATCTGCTCTGCCCTATTTATGCCCTGCCTGTTCCTGTCTCGTTGCTAGTTCGTAGCAGTGTTGTTCCTGACCTGTTTCGTCCCCGCTGTTTGTTACCTTGTTGCTTTACTGTGCTTTTTGATGTCGCCTGTTCCCCAACCTGGTTTTTCTGCCTGCCGTTTTTGCCCTGTCTGCTTGTGTGCCTGCCTGCCCCGTCCCTGACTCATCTTCTGCCCGACTTTGCTCCCGGAATTGCCCTCGGACTGCTTTTCTGTTACCGACCCCGCCTGTTCCTGATTTCGCCCCGGATTCGCCCACGGACTGCTTACCTGTTGCCAACCCTGCCTGTTCCTGGCTCACGATCTCTGCCTGCTGTATTTAATAAATACGCACTTAACCCTGATCATGCGTGGTCTGCTTTTGGGTCCCTCGTCTGTGCCGTAACACTGAGATTTCTGTATCTGGTTGTCTAAACATGTATTCATCTAAGCATATATTCTAATAAACTGAGGATTATTGATTGAAGTTTATTGGTTGGTGACTGGGTTCCTGACTCCACATTCACCAAAGCTCCTGGGGGGGAAGTTTTTCCCTATCAACTACCAATAAATATTATTAACAAAAATATTTGGACTATGAACCTACAAACTGGGGACTACTCTCAAGGTATTTGGCAACGCTTTATTGTAACAACTTTCACTTTCAGGCAAACTGGACAAAGGAAGGGGGTCTTTATCCTTCGAGATGGCCTCCTCCATATCTTATGGACGTGATTAATGTTATTTCTCCACTTTGTGAAAATGACGTCAAATTCTTGAGACAGCTGGGGACATGCTTAATTGATGCTAAGACAAAGAACCACAACAAAAATAAAACAAAGTGAATTGAACTGAATTTCTTCTAGTTGTTCACAGTTCCTTTAATTGTATAAACTTGAAGATTGACTAAATCCAGCTAAATGGGTTATTTTTCAGATGATAAAGGTAATTTGCTTCAGTTACCATCTTTGTTTATGGTCGGAGGAATTCAAAAGTGCCTTTTCTGCTTCTGACTTCTGAGTACATTTCTCCACTATGAACTGAGGGTAAGTGTGAAGATGGTATTCTACTGGATGGAACAAAACACATTCTCCAACGCTTATAAGGTGATCACACGGTGATTACAAGGTGTTGCTCTTGCAGTGTATAAATACTTAGTACTTAAAATAATATATACTGTCATCCCTCAGCATGGCCCTTTTACACAAGAGTTACAATCCACAGGTTTAAAAAATGAATAAGTTATGACCGGTGGCTATCCTCCTCCTTCCTCTGTTCACACTTCTTATATGCCTAACCACACCCAGGGTTGGGTATCCTGTCACAGTATTCTATTCACAGGTAAGACAAAGCATGGCATATCTTCCTCTCCAGACACGTGCAGTCTCTCACTGAGAACGGGTGAGGCCATTTGATACTGTGCTTCTATGGTAATCATTCAAATGTGGTGCAGGCTAAATTGCTCACTCCAACTGAGACTCTGGGAGGGAGCTACAAAGACAGAATAAGAAATGCAGTAGTGTGTCATCCAGTAAGCTACTTTATGTGTATTAGGGATGTGCATGTCCATCACTGAGGCCGATGCGATACACACCTATGCGTTGGCAAAGATCTGATACATTAAAGATACATATGATGCGACTACTAATGCAATACGATACGATTCACCCCCATTGCGATGCAGTGCGATTCGACACGATTTGATTCAACACAATGCGATTCAATACAATACGATGCAATGCAAAAATGCCCAAAAATGGGAGAATGTTGTTCTCTATTTTTTATGTGCTGTTTTCAAACCATTAGCAACTATTGACAGCCTGCAGAGACCATGTCTGTATTGTGGTAATTAAAAGGTATTCAGTGACAATCTGAGAAAGCTGATTTCAGGCAAACAAGAAAGTGGGAGAACAAGTTACTGTCTTCTAAGCAAACATGACTTTTCATCTAGATTCAGAATATTTTTGGGTAGTGAACATTAGTTCTCAGGGAGAACATCTACACAAAATTAAGTTCAGATAACCTGAGAGAAGAGGCTGGAATGTGCAAAATCATTGCTCTGAGTTCAGTGCAAAACAATGATAGTTTTTCCACCACATCCTTGTGCAGCAATGAATAATTCATCAACCTAATGGCTCAATGGCAATGGACTGGCAGCATTGTAATAATACATGTATGTAAATAAATAAACATAGGGTATTCACACTGAAATATACAGTGAGTTGCCAATGTTGTTAATCATTTACAATGATTACTGGTTCTGATGGAAAGCTTTGAAAAGTGGATGCATAGTGTCCTTTGGGGTGGCTGGGTAGCACAGTGGTAAGGAGCAGGGCTTGTAACCAAAAGGTTAGTGGTTCTATTCCCTGCTGGGTCACTGCTGCTGTACCCTTGGACACGGTACTTAACCCAGAATTACCTCAGTAAATATTCAGCTGTATAAATGGATAACATGTGAAACTGCAAGCTATTTAAATTGCTCTGGGTAAGTGTTTCTGCTCAATGATAATAACAGAATGTAACATTTCTCATGTGGTACATGCATACATGTACCTACTATAGACAACAAATGTGAAACAGAATGTACTTCCTTATGGGTGTTTCTGAAATATCTTCGCCCCTAGAGGCGTAGTGCTGTGGAGATCTTCTGTGTCATCCTACTGCGCTGGAAAATTACCTGAGCCACAACCTTTTTAGACTACAGTAGGTTAGATTGGAAAACATGATTAAATGTGGAACATCACATTTATTTTGAGCTAAGAAAGGTAGCTAACAGTGCACCACAGTGGGTTGATTGGAAGACAGAGGAATCCCCATCATCGTTGTCTGTAGACAGCTAGCTAACTCTGTGTTAAGAGTGAAGAATGAGTATATGATGAATAAATAAGCTAAATTCTGTAACCCTGTGTATCTTGCAAAGTGCAGTTTTATTGGTACTAGATGAACACATCAGCCTCATTTCTTCATTGTAAAACAAACCATGGGACAGAACTTGTAGCAACATGACTCTCAACTAGCTAGGTAGCTTGCTGACTTTAGGGTCTCTGAAATTTGTCATGCACGTGGTTGTAACAAGTCCTGTCTCTTGGTTTGTGGCATTTTTGTATGCAGCAGCTGTTACATACATACAGTGTTGATGAAAGTACAGGTGTTACAGTACTGAGTGTTGAAAAATGTGCCTAATAGAAAACAAAATACATCCAACCAAACACATCCATATTCATGGGCTTGTAATAAAATGTGTGTTTTAATTGGAATCTTAGCAGGGACTTCTCATCATACCATGTTCACACCGCTCCACTTTATGTATCTGTCACATTCTGGGGTAAAAGAAAATTGCTGTTTTTTTACTAGTTAAACCAGTTTGGCCAGTTGTGATGCAATCAGCAGATTATGTGGATTACTTGAATGAAACCACTAGTTTCATTCAAAAACACTGCAACTCGGGCTTTACACTGTTTTTAATTTTCCTGCTTACAAAGGTACAAACATTATTTCTCATTATGTTATGCTTTTCCCCTCTTTTTCAACAAATTTGAAGATGACAATAACACATTAGGCTTGTCTCCTTGCATAGCCCCTAAACTCCTTGTTTAAGCGAGGTGAGTTCCACCCTCTGAAACACTTGGACACAGCAAATGGCTATTTTTCACACAGCAAGTCCCACAGTGCACCACAGTGGAGTGAGTAGGGGATTGGAGGCATCCCCATTGGCATCAATGACGGACTCTGCACGGGAAGATGAGGGAACCCCGTTGACATACCCACCGCCATCCCCAGCAGAATGAAACCAAGTGCTCTGCAGCTCCTGGTCATTATTGGCTGATGAAATGGCTGAGCTAGGGTTGCCACCTTTTCAACAAGCCAAAACCGGACACCCCTATGCAATAACACTTAAAGTCAAAATTCCATTCCATTGATTTTATTGCTTGTCTCCCCCCCCCCCAGAGAGAACATTGCAAAAACCGAACAAATGACAGTCATAACCGGACACCCGGACATATAGCCGGACTGTCCGGGTTAAAACCGGACGGGTGGCAACCCTAGGCTGAGCTCAAACCTGGGCTGTAGGGCTCAGCCTGTTTTTGGAACTGAAACTTTAGTTGGCTGAGCCACTTAGCTAAGGAAAGACTTAAAATCGTTTCAAAGTGTGTGTATGTTTACAGACATGCAATTTACTGCAGGATATGTGCTGCAGCCTAATATAGACAAGCCTTTATGACCACTTACAGCTGGGCATTTTTGTGTCGGTCTTACCTTTTAGATCTTGGTGCATTTGCCTTCCTAACTGCAGCCATGCTATGAAGATGTGCTTTTTTTGAAGCTGCTAAGCTGCCCCCCAGCTGATAGGTATTTTACTTTGATTTCATGTGAAATCCAGATTCGTAGGTAGTTGTATGGTGTAACCAACAAAAGACTTCGTTGTGAAAAAGGACCACATATCTTTGTTCATCTCAGTTTGTGCCCTCAGCCATATGAGATGACACAATGGAGGGTACTCAACATGCAGAATGTGGCCCTTTGGAATGTTCAAATTTCCAAACAAATTTAGGGGCATACCACCCCCACTTCTCCCAGACTGTTGTTTAAAAACCAGTTCAAACCTGCCCTGACCTGTTCTGCTCCTCCTTATCAGAGGCACCTGTTTGGAAGCAGGCAAGCCAGTGCCCTTCAGCAGCCACCTGACAACCCTGTCGAGTGTCGTCCGAGTTTGGTGGGTCCTTCAGACCTGTATGTGCAGGAGGATGACTCCACCGGAGTGCTGGTGTGGACAAGGACATCAGACATTGAGTTGTACTTGACCCAAGGATTTTGAGCAATATAAAAGTTGTGGTGACGTCCCCCACTTCAGTGCCGCACCAATTCCTGTGGGGTGAGGAAGTGGGGACACCAAACTCCTGGGGACAGATTGTTGTTGTGTGCATCTATGCCAATGAAACCACACACAAACACAGACACACATACCTACACCCCTTCAATAAAGCCCTGAACTGGACACCTGACTCCTGATGCACCACTGCATGAGCAACATTCTCCTGATCCCAGTGTAAGGGTGAAACTGCCCCCTCAGTTTCATTCATAGTCAAACCTGTGTTGTCAAAACATAGTCAAACATTAGTACTTAATAGTTAATAAGTTAAAAATACATTCATTACCATGCTCACTCTAGCAAAAAATGCACATCTTAGTAAAATATTTTATCAACTACATCCATTTGTAAAATTACTTCAACATCCAATAATTTACTGTTTCTTTAATGATACATGAATGCACATACTTCACCAGGACTAGAGAACGACAGTGAAAGTAAAATATTATTATGTTACATGACAAATCTGCATCCAAAAACAGGTAATTTGTTTTGCCATATGATTGATTTATAATTTTTGCAAGTGATCTGATTGCATTTGATGAATTGATTTGTTTGACATATTTTTACGCCAAATTCCCTTTCTGGAGTTGTTTTGTAGCTATAAGCATGTTAAAGAATTGGCAATATTTCATTTACAAAGCGAAATTCGGAAGTACCGAAAACGCCGTGAAAACTTAATGCACTGAAACGGAAATCACAGGCTTTTCAGTTTTCACACATAGGGTTGCCACCTTTTCAACTAGCCAAAACCGGACACCGGACAGGGACCATGTACAAAATACATTAATCTCAAAAAAGAGGAAAGATGCTTTGTACCAGATTTAGCTACTATCTAATTTCCATCTGCAGTCCCTGGGCAACCGGGAACGGACTGTCCGGGTTAAAACCGGGCGGGTGGCAACCCTAACATACCCGGACTACGAGCTTTTAGCCCTAGGCTAAGCGATGTTGAACACAGGCACATTGAAACTGCCATTTATACAGAGTAGGACCAAGAAGGTTATGGACCTCTTCAACTTTGACTAAACATCTCCTTAATCACGGAGGCTGCTCGTTCGGTTTGAAAGGCACAGCACTATATTGCCCTTTAGCGAAGAAAACACGCCTCTCCCTTGTCAGCAGTGACGTAAGTACGGGGGGGAAGAACCTTTGAAACCGGCGACCACGCTGGGTCCAAGGAGAAAATAGCACTGCCATGCAACACAGGAAACTACGGCACTTAGGGGCGGGTTACAAAAATTGTGTAACTCTGGATGGTACATAAGCAGGTACACCACAGGCTCATTTAGAATAATGTATCCCGCTATCCTCCGAGTGACACGGAAAATATCACATTACTGATCAGTGTTTAGCTTCTGGTTACCGGTAGCGAGAGCTAGTGCGTACTGTATGTTCCGTGTTTGAATTGCATTAGGTACTGTTGAATTCGGCTGAAATGCATTCAAGGGCGAGCATTTAGTCTTGTTTAGGCAGAAATTTCAATATCCATTGTGTTCATAGCAAATGCGTAGGAAGAAGCTGCAGCTTATGAGTTTTTCATGCATTCAATTTTACGCTATTAATGGTTTACATTTATATCAGTTTGCCAGTGTACTCGATTAGCCTACTTCCTCTTCGTGTCTAGGTGTTGCATGTTTCTTGTAGTTACGATTTCATGTAGATCTCTGTTATCTGCTCAGTTCGCATCTTAAATAATATTTGTTGATATTTTATTAATATATAAGCGTAGACTGCTTGTATTAATATCTGCAAGTCACAATGGGGGTGGGAGCAGAAAATACAGTGTCCACCTCAATCCACAATGGGGGCTACAAGGAGGAGATGGAACTGGCTTTGAAACCAAGCCTAGAGAGCGCAGTGGTGGTACCAGAGAATGGAGACCACGCGACTTCAGGGAGAGAGACCTGGGGCCGGCGCCTTGAGTTCATCCTCGCGTCAGTGGGGTACGCAGTTGGACTGGGGAACGTGTGGCGGTTCCCATACCTTTGTTACAGGAGCGGTGGAGGTAAGCAAAGTCACGTTTTCTCCCAACAAAGGAAACCTTGCTTAAGCAAGCTTGGAATAACAAATAAAATATCATTTGTGGCGAGGAACAATGACTGAAAACTGATGTGGGATAAACCCCTTACTCAAAGCAATGCTTTATTAGTCGTGCGTGTATTGTGGAGAACTGATACATGTACTACTGCTACTACCCAAGGCTACAAGATGGGTATTTTTGTGAGCAGACCTTGTTATTTTAGGTGTTAAGCCACATATTTCCATGAGAACTGGGCTGTCTCTCTACCTCAGTATTGTGCAAATATAAACAGTTTCTTTTCAAAATGGCAGTATGAAAGGTGATGAAACTACATACATTTTGGAGCTAGGTAACATATTTTTGTGGCACAAAGGCTTTTCTCAGTTTGAGATTTCAAGTATTCCAACCCTAGAGCCCCGTGCCTCTCTGAATATTCACTGTTTAACTCACAAATCATATTGTTAGTCACATGCTATGGTGTACT